GCGGTCGGAATTTCCATCGAACGCGACCGCTCGACGATATTCCGCGCCACCTCCGCCTTCGCCTCCAACTCCAGCACCAACACCAGCACCAGCACCAGCACCAACACCGACACCACCGATACCACCAACAACCTCGGCACCGACGTTCGACCGTCACCCACTTTTCGAGCATCCACTCGGTTACGTGACGCAGGCTCGTTTCGTGCAGCCAAGCGACAAGGTCTACCGGTCGGCTGCTGATCTTTGCGAACCACCGATCGTCCGCCAGCGACGACGCGCGTCCGCGCGATAATCCGAGTGAACCATACCACGGGGATCGTTCGAACGTTACCGAGGCTGCTGGTCAAGATCGAGCATAACCAAAACAGTTGCGGGAGAAGGCTGATCGTTGATCGATCGGAGGACGAGACGCTCGTCATCGAACCGACACCGCCGCTTCCGCACAACGAGGTCCCCTGTTGTTGCACCGGATTCGTCGCCGTCCCAGGCGCCGCCGTGTCCCTCGCCGACGAGGACGATTCGTCCTCTTCTTCGATTTGTACACCTGATTCAAACGATCGTCGTAAAGTATCCGTTTGTTCGTCGTAAGAACCGTTCGTCGGAAAGCGTACTTTCGCGAAACGAAAGCGCATTTTACGGAAAAGTAAGGAATTTTTACTTATCTTTCAAATATCTTTTACGATCCGCGACGAATTCGGACGTTTTTCCGTTACCTTTCCGCGGCACGCGAGTATACGTAGGGAATAGGCGATAGAAGTAAGTACCTGTGAAAGCTGGTTGAATAGGATTAATCTCGCAGAAGGGCGCTGTCGGAGGATCGTGGCTTCTCCCGCGTTTCCGTGGTTCTCGGTCGGTACAATTCGCGCAGATACCCGATCCCGGATACTCCTCGGAGCACGCGTGAAAGCAACACTCGTTCTCTTCGCTGCTATGCAACGCCCTCGCAGCTTGTTCTCCGGTCTCGGGGATGTTTGGATCTGAAATCATTTCGTTGCACAACCACCTCCTATCCCTATCCCTCTCTCGCATTCTTTTCGCGCCTTCTTTCGCTTTTCTTTCTTTTCGTTCGATACTAAATCGTGTACGTGGGCGGTCGGGCCAACTCGATGCTTCCTTTTAATCCCCCGTTTTATGTACCCTCTGAAACTATCGTTCCGGTCGTATCGCGGTACGCGATCAAAGTAACAAAATGATAACCGTTAATCGAGTCACGCGAGCAAACACGAGTAGATAACTTATAAATCGATTCTTCTTAATTAAGCGTGGAGATTCCGAATCTGATAAAAAAATTTCTCAGTCAGAAGGTTTAACCTGCCCAAGCTGTCCATGTACGTTCTCTCCCTAAAGTAGAACTGCTCGATAAGTTGGTCGCGTTCTCGGATGGATCGACTATTTTACCGTGTTGCGCTTCTGGTCCGTTCGCGATTGCCTTCGGTACACGTTCAACGACTGCCGGTGGTACGCAAACGCGTTCGTTCGAAACGATTTTCAACAACGTGAAAATCAAGATAGGGTGCCAAAAATGCTTTTACCCTTCTTCGAGAACAACGAGATCGAACGTATAACTTAAGAGAGGAACGAACGTAGATCGACGATGTTACCTCTGCAAAGGAAAGTAGGTTCGCCAGCGTACTGCGTGGGGTAAGCGGGGGCACGGTCACCCGGAAGTAAGTAAGGGCAACGTTGCTCCACGGATTGGCAAAAGGACCGACAGGGCCTTAGCCTGCTTCCGACCCAGCTGTCCGAACTGTCCAAGTCCTGCGGTCCCCCATGAGCAAAGTAAGGCACCAGGGAGCTGCATACCCATTTTCTATACGCTTCCTGGAAACAAACCATACGCATTTATTTAGATCGTTCAACAACTCTGTTCGATTACTTTCTAACTAATTCTTCGATCGTATCGTTTAAACGTTATCGCAAATATTTTAACGAAAGTTCAAACTTTGATAATTGATATTTTCAGTTACTTTTATGTCATCGAATCGTCTCAGATACTTCGAATGATCTTTCGAAATTGTTCGCGCGATTTGCAATAGTCCAGTAAGAGGGGTCGGCCGTTGAGTTTGATACGAGAAGGAAAAAGAAAGAAGTGAGAGAGAGACGATTGCGGTATAGACGCGTGCGAGTAGGAAAGATAAAGAGAGAAGATCGACCAGTCTGTAGTTTGCTTCGGTAGTCTATTTGGAATGATCAGTTCGAGTCAGGCAATAGGGTAGGTCACTGACTGACCTACATATTCACCGAATTCGTCGAGTTCGCGTTATAATTATACTCTGATCACCGGAAGACCTTGTATCTTTGGTCGTCTATTGTTTAGCATACTCCTTCGACGTACTTATTACGCGTTTCGTGAACAAAAGAAACAGACAATGATACGATTTAACGTATTTTATGACCACGATTCTAAAAAGCGCTCGACTTTACAAAGCGATCGACTGAGCGGCTAAGCACGAATCAGTGATCGTAGGTTAGGAAAATTCGAATACACCGATCGAAAGGGATTATGTGCTGACCAAAACATCGGCCTGCACACGACCCTAACACGAACTCGAGTCACGTTCAGGGCCATTCGATGCAAACTTCGAATTTCTTTTCAAGTTGCTGCCCTACGTTTAAAGCGCATCTATTAGCTGCACTCGTTTTGCACGGGAAAAACGATCTAAAGACTTTCGTTATAGCGCGCACAGCCGTGGGTGTGGTTACTAAGAAACGTGTCACCGCTTCGCGATAGTTTGAAACGAAGTAGAAAGCACACTTTAATCGATATAAAAAATGAAGAACGAGCCGAGCTCATAGTTATTCCCGATTATGGCTGGAACATCGTGGAGACAAATGGTGGTCCGCGAAAACGGGAAATAAAAGGTGAACGATGCCAGGGAGGGTAAGGTTAAGTAAGAGGCACGTGAGCCGCATCTTCGACCAACACCGGGTGAAAGTGAGCACGTTCTTCGTCTCGATCCTCGGCTGATTTCATGGTCGTTACAAACAGTCTCGTATACGGATACGTTATTTTTCCTAAACCGACACGTTCAAACACGCGCCACTAGATCGAATCAAATTTTTAACTTTGAATCTGCCGCTGTCTTTCTACAAACTGTTCGTTCGGACGGTAACGTCGTTCGTAAGGATTATATGTACAAGGACTTCGATCGAACTTGTTTACGAAACGTAAAACGCTAAGTACATAGGATCGGGATCGAACGCGTTGAAGAACGAATAAAAATTTCGTTCAATCGATAATAATATGCGATATAAAAAAAAAAAATGATATTCGATCCGATGGATGTTCGATGGAAGCGGATAATATAACGACGAGGCTTTCTCCAGTGGTTAACGAGTAAAGAAAAAGGGAACGATTCCGTGGGAAGGACACGAAAGGAGTAGCATAGTAGTTTGGTGGGTCGGTAGATAGGCAGATAGGTAGCTACACCTGAAGTACACTCGAAGTTGGTTGACCCAATTCGCTGCAGCCTCTGGCGAGTATCTACGGCTACGGTTACGGCTACGGGCCGAGCTAGGCAGGCAGATGCGGTACCCTCCCCTCCAGGCTATCATTCCCACCCCTATCGCTTCTCCCTTCTCTCTTTCTCTACCACCCTAGTTCCTGTACGTGATCCTTCTTCTGCGCCACTCGCACCCTCCCTCCGTTCCTTGCGCCCTTACACACCCCGCCAACTACCCCTCGATCGCTCGCCCTACTATTCTTTTACTTAGATCGCTATAATGGAGCGGAGCTCTCAAACAATACGTCTTTTTTCGATTTCCTCGTGAAATTCTTGTCACCGACATACGTAGTCCGAGCGATCTCGCGCGCGCCTTTTTCCTCCGACCCGACATTTTTCCCTCCAAATTTATCGTCTTTCTAGGCTCGGGCAAAATTCAAAGACGACCGCGTGACCCATTATACCGGTTTCCTTCTTCGAATTACATCGAGAGGAAACGACTTAACGAGAGAGAGGATACGCTCTTATAATACATATATTTCTTCTGATCCTAATGAAAAATATCCAACGAAGAATGTAGACGACGAAGATGCAGTTAATTTACCTCGAGAAAATCTGGTTAGGATAGATTAGGTTAGTTTACCGTTTACGACAGGATTAAGCAGTTGGGCGTAGGAGGTGCGCGACACAGTTCGCAAGTTCGTTTCTCCCTGGTGTCCCGATGACGAATAATCCTGGTTGCCCTCTATCGACGAACGGCAGCGTTTCGCGAAGAAGAAACCGGAAATCGGAGATGTTCTTTAAGCGGGAGATGCTCCGTCGTTTGCGAGGTACGCGGTGACAAGGCACATTTCATCCCGGTGATGGACCGCGTTAATTTCTTTTCACGTCGACTAATGTATATCGGCTTCAAATTCCTTTTCTTCTTCGTTCTACTTTTTTTCCGTTCCCCTCGATACGTACATACATACTCGCGTGTTTTCTGACGCGTACATGTACTATATACGACTCGTAATTCGGCCTGTCATTGTTCACTCCGGATTCGTGACATTAATTTATCCCTCTTTCGGAATACGCCGGAGTAATCCTTTGTCTCGGTTAGGTCGTCGAGAGATCAAAGACGAGAGGCTGGAAATTAGTAATGCTCTTTGCGCGAACGATTCTTTTGTAAGACGAGCGTGCACCTGTATTTTCACCGACTCCACCTACTACCGTGTAATTTAACGGTCTAACAGTCAGCCTCTTATCTATTAATCGAAAAAATCGGTAACCACGCGCGTTTCGGTATCCGAAGCAGGTTAACGGGTTAATCGAAGTAGCTTCTTAATCGAATAATCGATTGTTGCGGCTAATGGAAAAACAACGATCCGTAATCGTCGAGAAGCAGCCGACAAAAACGAAAAAACAGCGTCGCATTAATACCGTTCCGTTTCGAATATTCTACTAATATAAAAAATCGTCGATCGGTGAAAACAACAATTTCAGATTTATCGAGTATTTTGCATTAGTCGATCGAGAAAAAGGAAAGTAGCGTGCGAATATTCTGGCGGGATTTTCAAACGATGCTCGTGGAACCAGAAACCTGGTAGGCCTGGGTTCCCTTGCTTCTCGTTTACATCGCGCTCGGCTCATAAATGCGCTTTTCAGGCCACGAGTGCCGTACATACTTGGTAAGCACGTCGGATTAATTACCTTGAACGGCGAGTCGAGAACAAGGAGAATGGAACAGAGAATTTAGCCAGCCGAGATAGCTAAACGAGACGAAAGACGCGTTTGAAACTTTGCACGCAAGATAATCGTCTTCCCCTTTTCCCTCTCCAACAGCCGTTTTGCTTTCTTCTCCACGTTCGTCGAATCGGTTACATCGATACGAATTATGGAAACGCGATCGTCGAATTAACGGAAATTTTTTTTCGCGCTACAAGTAGTACTCTCGGTAAAATTCGATCTTTAACATTTAAGAAGTTGATACAAGAATAGTTATGATTGCTGATAATCGTTAAGGTTATCTTATGCCGAAGTACAACGAACTTAACGAACGTTAAGCCGTTCCTGATCGTGGATTTTACGCGAAAGCTTGGTCGATCCTCCGAACGAAATTAACCAACGAGTATCAGCGGCCAAGCATGCGGAAGATGCAATTAGCTAAATCGAATCGGATAGAAAAAACACGTGGTACGGACAACGATCAGGTACGGTTTAACCGGTGAAATAAATAACCCACGTTAACTCGGGTTCGATATAATCGGATCATCGGTTCCGCTGCAATAGTTTAATCTATCGGAAAACCTGTTATTTTATTCAGAGATGTTACTTAATCGTTGATAACGCGTTACCAGTTCGTCTCGGCCGGGATGTCACGGTTGTAAAGCGTTCATCATCCCCGGTACTTCGTAATAACGCGATATAGAAAATTCTACAAGTTTCTTGGGAAAAACATATACGACACGGTATAATTTTGTAATCGTTTTATCGCGTAACGCGAATTCAACTTTTCTCCTCGAGTTCCTGCAAGAATATCATTTATTTCTAGTTACGAAAGTTTCTTCGAACACGAGCCCCTCAACTTCTCTAATATATCCTCGAAACGTTGAACGACAACATCGAACCTTTAACCAAACGCGTTAAGAGTCTTTATTAATTCTGCTGTAATCCACGACGTATCACTGTCACGAAATATGAAAAGGCTCCTCAGTGACCGATCTACAGAAGACGAAAATATCAAGGACAAAAACGGGGTAAGAACCGAGAGGAATAAGAACTCAGGTAAAAAACAGGGACAAAACATACAGTGTTACGGAACGCGTCGAAGAAACAAAGAGTAGTAGATGCCTATTGGAGAATTCAGAGACGCGAATCCGTTGTTCGCGTGTCGTATCGAGTGGCAGAACGTCGACGAGTGTGGGGAGAGGCGGAAACAAGAGAAGAGAAGAGAAGAGAAGAGAAGAGAAGAGAAGAGAAGAGAAGCGAAAAGAAGGGATGAAAAAGGGTCGGGTTCGAAGGGGAGTAAGGAGTAAAAGGAGGAGGAGGAGGAGAAGTTGGGTCGGGGATGGCGCTGTCGGTGGTTGGTGGTTGCAAAAGCAATGCCCTCGGTCGCGGTGACCTGGTTACCTGGCCCATATCCGTTTCACCGTCCTACCAACGCTATCCCTAAATTCTACGCTCCTTCCCGAATCCAGCTTCTCCTACACACTCGGTCGCGTCACATTTTTAACCTCGTCGCGAAACGTCTTCGCCCACTTTCTTCGTTTCTTTGCTAATCCTGACTTTGCGCCTTCGTATTTTCCGCGGACCAACCAAACAGGCCGTCCTTCGATCGCGCTTCTTTTCAACTTTTCCACGTGCAACTTTCCAGTTGCTAGCTACGAGCTACCAACG